TCTCAAGATTCAACTGGCATTCAATGTGTGTAAGAAAGAACTGATTACTGATATCTAGAATGTCCTAACCTATACACAGATCCTCATGACATGTTGCTAACATTTTGTAGCACATAAATACATTCAGAATAAAATTAATATCAAAGCTGATTCACTGAGACTTTTAGAAAAAGCCATGTGAACAATATGAAGGTTGTATGAGCTATATTAATAAGTTTATCTCTTTCTATTTTCTTCATTTCATATTCAATCTTTGCTGAACTAAAATCTTAACATTTGGTTTATCTACTGAAAGCATCAGGATTTTCTTCAGGGAATTAATTCTTCTTTTAAGACAGCAATGATGATATGATCTCCTCTTCTAATATATATAAGGTTACATTATGTATCGGGTTTAGTGATAATGTTTGTTGTATTAAAAGTCAGATGGTATTTTTTAAGAAAGAAAGAAATGACAAAATATTTTGAATAGCAGTATACAAGTTAGAAAGTTTCTTTGTTGTATTTTAAAATTTTATTGTATTAAGTCAAATAAAGAAGATTTGACAAAAAATGAGTTAAATATACAGTGGTACCTCAGGATACGAAATTAATCCGTTCCGAAACTGAGATCGTATCATGAAAATGTCGTAAGGTGGATCATCTTTTCCCATACGATTACATGTAAAACCAAATAATTCGTTCCAATGCGAAAAACATACTCAAATTAAAGCCAAGTAATACATTAAAAAAAATAACTGTAGTAAGAAAAACAAATGAAAAATGCGAACTAATGTAACGTCGTATGGTGAGTTTTTGTTCGTATCATGGAGCAAAAATATGTTCGAATTTCATGTCGTATCCTGAAAATTTCGTATGCTGGGGCGTTCGTAACCTGAGGTACCACTGTAGTCATTAACTATTACTTACTACATCATTGTTGGTGATATAAGATAAACCACTAAAAATAAATGTAGTGAATAATAGTTATAATAGCAAATGCATTTGGGTCCCTTTATGCTCATTACTGCATTTGTCATAAGATAAAAAAATACAGTCAAAGTTATATAACGATACAAGTACAGTAGAGCGTCGATTATCCAAAAGTCAATTATCCTAAAGAATTCCAGTCATCAAATTTAAATTTTCACCAGTGCTGTGGCGCTGCAATCTTTGGCTATGTCTTGCACTAAATATTTGTTTTATTTGGGTCTTTAATTAATAAAAAGCAACGAAACACCATTTTAAAGTAACCATTTTATTTAGTAACCCTTCTTCATTCACACATCTCCAAGTATTTGAAAATATTTCCTTTCCACTCAAAAATAAAATATGAATAAAGGTTTACGGCTTTGTGAACTTTTTTGAGTTTATGCCATTGAAATAAATAAATAATAAAAACATTTGTCGGTATTGTTTACACATTTGGGCTGCATTGAAACTTGCCTTGGGCCGCATGTGGCCTGCAGGCTGAAGATTGGACACCCCTGGCCTAGGACTTTGCCAGACCAAGATCCAGGCATAGCTATAGAAAAACTGATACTGTGATTATGTGCAGTTTGTATATTTGTGTGTTTAAAAGTTTCCCATGTGACATGTGTTTAGTATGACAGCATTCTGTAGTACATGCTATTGTTAACTCTAATGTTTCAAGACTTTTGCATAATGTATGTGGTACGATGTCTGTGCAAGAAAGGACTATTAGCACAATAAATACCTCGTCCATTCTCCACAGACACTTTTATTTTGTGGTTAGGTTCTAGTATTTGCTAACTTTTTCAGATGTATATATTTCGTATATTGTGAGTGTTTGAAACAGCAATGTCTATATTATATGTGATTTTGTTTTGTTTATCAATAACTATGATTTGGTCATAGTATATTTTGTGTGTTGTTTTCTATGAAATATGTATTTTAGTATATTTATTGGGTATGTAGTGGTTGTTTGTATGCAAGCTCTGATATATTATGTTTGCTGTTTGGTTATGATAATGTAAATAGTCAGTTTGTTGTTGTTGTCGAAACCGTGTTGTATTTATGTATTGTATACTGGCACAATGAAGTGACTTTTCTTCAACACTGGGCAAGTTTCAATCTTTATTCAGTTAGNGAAAAATATACATACATGCATACCAGTTTTTTGTGTGTCTAATAAAATTTTAAAAACGAATAAAATTAAAGCATTTCATAAATACATTTTTTTAAACTAAATAAATAATGATAACGGTTTGGAACTTATAAAGTACAGCAAGTCATAACTTTGTCATCAATAGGTTCTTGGAAACTGATATTAAGCAAAATGACAAATAATAAAATCAATTTTACCATAGGCTAAATATTAATATATAACCAAATTATATCATTTTTACAACCACCATCATTTAATTTCTACTTCATAGAATTAATTTCACAGTTATGTATAAAGAAACTTAAACAACCATAATCATAAATGATTACAAATGTCTTGTATCTTTTTTCCTTGACAATGTTAACGATACAATGCTAGGTGAAGACTTGATGTATTATAATTTCAGCAAATTCTATTAAAAAAAATAATAATAAAATAAATGAAAGCATTATACAATTTGGAACTACATTATATTAGCAAATAAATTTTAAAAATATCTTCACAATCAATGCACAACTTGCACATTTTTTTAATTGCTAAAAAATACATTTAACTTTAATTTTGTTATTTGTTTAATGTTTCTAATAGTAACAGTGAAATTTCTGAGTATTATTTTGTTAAGTAAACATTTGTATTTTAGATTTGTATTAAATAACTGTTCAATATTAAAAGAATGGTTATTTTTGTCTTTTTAGTATTCTAATATCTATCACTTTTTATCTTTTTACCTGAAACATCTTACATCATTACCATATGTCAAACAGACCTCATTAATTATGATGATGATGACAGTTTTATACTACACTTGTGAACTGATACTGGGCAATAAAAAAGTGCCACAAACAAAAGCAGAATATGAAGAGATGCAAATTCTTAGATAAATATTGATATGATAAGAAATAAAAGTGAATACATCAGAAGGAATTTGAAAGAGATATGACTGGAAAGAAGGTGCAGGAATGAAGAATAGGTTGATCATATAAACTGACAGTAGAACAGTTCCAAGTTAAGAAGACAAAAAAATTGAAAGTTGATGGCCCCTGAAAAAAAAGATAAAAAACTTGGAATTAAGCAATTAGAAATAATTGTTATAATTCCATTTTTGTACAATTTGAACATCTTTCTTCCAGACAGAAAAAGTACTATTTCAAATACTTATAATTTTTATTAACAGATAAAGTATATAAATATATGCATAATAACTTTTTAATACATCATATNAGTGTTTCTACTCTTATTTATTAAAAATTAAATTGTAAAAAATTGATCTTAATAAAACCATTTATGTTTGTTATTGTTAAAAGATATTTTCAATTTTGATTTTTCAAATAATTTTTTAAAATAGTTCTTAAGTTGTTTAAAAAAAACAATTTCCAGACATAACTAATATGTCTAGAAATTTTCTTTAATATTTTATGAGTTATAGTATCATCTTTTTTTTTTTGCAAATACTTCTATATTGCACAACTATAGTTATTTTTGCCTCATTCTTCTTTTGTTAAAATTTGTGCTTATTTAAGATTGAAATTTTACTCAGAATGTTAAAAATTTTATATAATTAATACAACTGATGACTACACTTATAAAAAAATTGACAACATATTTCAAAATTAATATATTTGTTTTATATTTATTTTTTTTAATCACATTTAACTTTAATTTTGTTATTTGTTTAATGTTTCTAATAGTAACAGTGAAATTTCTGAGTATTATTTTGTTAAGTAAACATTTGTATTTTAGATTTGTATTAAATAACTGTTCAATATTAAAAGAATGGTTATTTTTGTCTTTTTAGTATTCTAATATCTATCACTTTTTATCTTTTTACCTGAAACATCTTACATCATTACCATATGTCAAACAGACCTCATTAATTATGATGATGATGACAGTTTTATACTACACTTGTGAACTGATACTGGGCAATAAAAAAGTGCCACAAACAAAAGCAGAATATGAAGAGATGCAAATTCTTAGATAAATATTGATATGATAAGAAATAAAAGTGAATACATCAGAAGGAATTTGAAAGAGATATGACTGGAAAGAAGGTGCAGGAATGAAGAATAGGTTGATCATATAAACTGACAGTAGAACAGTTCCAAGTTAAGAAGACAAAAAAATTGAAAGTTGATGGCCCCTGAAAAAAAAGATAAAAAACTTGGAATTAAGCAATTAGAAATAATTGTTATAATTCCATTTTTGTACAATTTGAACATCTTTCTTCCAGACAGAAAAAGTACTATTTCAAATACTTATAATTTTTATTAACAGATAAAGTATATAAATATATGCATAATAACTTTTTAATACATCATATGAATACTATTTTTTTATGTTTAATTTCATTTACAAATTAGCCCATTTTTATAAATCATTAACAAATATAATTGAAATAGAATTATATATAACTTTTTAATTAATTAATAATAAATTAACATTTATCAGAAATCTAAAATTTAAAGAGACCAAATAAAGAAGATATATAAACTTTTTTAAAAGTATTTTTTGGCAGCAATAAAGCTTTATTGTCAAACATAAGCCTAAACTGTTAGATTATTTGGACTGTATGAAAGATAATGTAATCAATTATTAAAATTTATCAAAATAAATAAATAAATAGTTTATAATGAACTTGTACAAAAATTAATCCTGAATTAAATAAATTGAGAAAACTGTAAAATAAAAAATTTCTCTGGAGTTAAAGTTTAATCCACAACTTCTGCTTATTAGATAGAATAATGTAAAGGATTTAAACCAGAAATTTTCTGCTATAAATCAATAAACTAAAAACAATTGAATTGAATACTTGACTTTTAGTTTCTCAAAAATAAGAAAACAGGTCAAGTCATTAATATTTATACAAAAATACTAAAAAAACTTTTTTCCTTACCTGCCAATACCTTGATTCGTGATCGTTCGAAGAGACGAGAAGAACTGTTTCCACCATCATAATCTAAATCTTCTATCTCCTGCTGGGCAGAAGAATCCCACTGAACAAGTACTGAAATGTCAGTAGTCATGGTGAGATAACACCCAGTCAATCAATGAGTGCTCTACAAAAAGAAAAAATATATAATTATGTATAAATATCAATTTTAATTACTTTTATAGGAACAAATTTAAAATAATTACATGCAAGGTTTTATTTTGCTAGTTATAAAACAAAATTGTTAGTTTAACAGTCAAATAAACCATGATTCCAAATAAAAATCAAAATTAAGATGAACTTTTTAGGTAGGCCTATATATTTATTACGTAAAGAAATATAATTAAAAGCTCTAGAAAAGTTAAAAAATAAAAATTAAAAGTTACCAAAAAATAAAAATTAATTACTAAAAACAAATCCATTGGATAGATTTTACATGTCCAACAGAATTTGTAAAATGTTTAAAATCAAAGAACAATAAACTATAAAAATACAATGACTAAAGGCATTTGCAAAACAAACCAACTAATGAATACAATGCAATAGAACTTTTGACATCAAATTAATTAATAACTTTTTTTATTATTATGAAATTATACATATTCATTATAGGAATACTTAACTACAAATATTCTCAGAAAAGTATTTATACAAACATATGATATCATTCAAACATCTAAATTTTATTTTGAACAATTTTAAAAGTATTCATGTCAATATGTTCAAAATTTATTATAATATAGAAAAATATACATACATGCATACCAGTTTTTTGTGTGTCTAATAAAATTTTAAAAACGAATAAAATTAAAGCATTTCATAAATACATTTTTTTAAACTAAATAAATAATGATAACGGTTTGGAACTTATAAAGTACAGCAAGTCATAACTTTGTCATCAATAGGTTCTTGGAAACTGATATTAAGCAAAATGACAAATAATAAAATCAATTTTACCATAGGCTAAATATTAATATATAACCAAATTATATCATTTTTACAACCACCATCATTTAATTTCTACTTCATAGAATTAATTTCACAGTTATGTATAAAGAAACTTAAACAACCATAATCATAAATGATTACAAATGTCTTGTATCTTTTTTCCTTGACAATGTTAACGATACAATGCTAGGTGAAGACTTGATGTATTATAATTTCAGCAAATTCTATTAAAAAAAATAATAATAAAATAAATGAAAGCATTATACAATTTGGAACTACATTATATTAGCAAATAAATTTTAAAAATATCTTCACAATCAATGCACAACTTGCACATTTTTTTAATTGCTAAAAAATACAAATCAATAGACTTGGCACTAAATCAACAGACAAGATACATCTTGAACAAATGTTCTTTTTCTTTAAATTCACATACAGTATATATAAATAAATATCACAAACCAATTAGGATGGACCACAGAAGTGATTCAGCATTTTATAAACAAATTTCTACACTTCAAATAATTGTCTTCATTCATTTATCAATAATTATAAAATCAAATCAAAAATGCTTGTTGGAGAAATAGAATTTTTTAAAATTTCTCCAATCCATATCAAAATGTAAATGGATTTAATAATAGCTTGGTGGATAATCTCTACTGACTATAGACTCAAAACATGCCAGTCACAGAATATTAGACTAAAGATTTTCAACATACAATTAAAAAATACAGCAGAATCCTGATTATCTGAGGTAACGTGGACCAATTTACCTTAGATAACCGAAAACTTGAATAAAATGGATGGACATGGCCATTTCTGATTAAAAATTACAAATACAAAAGATTTATATGGTAGAATTTTTAAGCTTCTTTTTATCATTTAGTGAATTTAATCATATATAAAAACAACAATTTCTACCTCATTTGTGATACAGCTAACACATACAATAGTTTTAAGAATAAAAAATGCACATTATTGACGTTACATTTTAATATGAATGATTGGTCTCACCATTACCACTTAATTTCAGCATAACAAAAACAAATCATTTTATAATACATGTTATCAACAATCCACAAAACCTTTTTATAACAGTGTTGTGTCCTATAACAATCTTCATGAACGTTTTCGACCTCCACCGAGGTCTGCTTCAGGTGGTGACTAAATGGTGCCTCCTCTTGACCATTGAAACGATGACGCCTGAGATGTAAATAATGCACGTATCGCGTTTCACCCCTCAGCTTGTCCCAGTTCGAATTCTTCAAATAAGAATATCCATGCCTGTGCGATCATTTCTCTGTCTTTAAAGTTGATGCAGGTGCCCCCAATGTTGGCTTTATAAATCTCCCAGGTCTCCAGGTGACGGATGTGATCAATATGAAATACCTGTCTTATTACTTTGGTGTTTTGGAAGTCCACCTGAATTTCCGGGTCAGTAACATAGGCCGACAAGGCGATGGTGTGCATGTTATCACTTTAAACTTTCTCTTATGAATTACAATATTGAAAAAGTAATATATTCACTTATAAAAATAATACAGACCAACCTTACACTTCAAAATGTTTTCTGAAAAACAAACTTCAGTGAAAAACTCTCTCTTCCAGGCACAATTCAAACACAAAGACATTAGAATAAATTTTTCACAGCAAACATTTTAACAACAAAATAGTTCTTCAAACATTTAGGCTAATGCTCATACAAATGAGTTGTGTTCAAGTTGTGTCTGGAAGAGCAGGTTTTGTATATTGAAAGGGAGAAAGCATTGTAGAGTTTAAAGATTTCTACTAAAGTTTAAGGTTAGTCTATAGTATTTACATTTCCTTCAGTTTTGAGTGAATTTGTATTCACTTATAGGTTTGCTTACATAATGTAGAACTTTGTTTAGACAGGGTTCTATTGTATAGTATAGTATAGTCATCATACATCTTTTTCCACATAAATTAGAATGATGTAAGACATAATTTAATGCAACAGCTTGCATCATTTAGATGCAAATATATGTGGATGTGATGTAAAACATGACAATGAATAAAAAGTATATTCTTAACTGAAATTAAATTAAACTAAAATTTTGAGTTTAATTTAATTTGAATTATTAAATTTATCAAGAGATGGCAGTTTAACTGCCTACCTCTAGCCAAACAATTATATTTAAAATTATTTAAGGAAAAAAATCCTTGAAGTAACACAAACATAAACAAATACAGGTAGGCCTCCTACAACGCGGTAGATACATTCCTTGAAAATACCGCATTGTAGGAAATCGCGTTATAGGAGGCATCAACTTAATACAAAAACTGGGATTCGGTTCTAAAAAGAGAAAAACTTGGCATTTGAATGGCATTTTTTGAATTTTTCAAACCAGCCATTGCTAGTCACGAATTTAACACTGGTTTCATCAGCTGACGACGACCCCATTTGTTTTAAATAATCAAATATTTTTAAGGCTTTGTGTTTAAGTGCAGTTTTATTTAAAGGCAACCGTTTCTTGTTCATATCTTCTACCCATAATATTAGCGCTTGTTTCATTTTTCCATTATATGTGCTCTCGGACAAGCAACATTTTTCGCAAGAATAGATGATCCAGATGCAACCAAATTCCTAATGTTTTCTCCCAATTGCTTAATTGACCGAATAGTCGACTCACTTAAATTAAAATGCCTACCAATATCAGCTATCCGCTCTTGATTTTTAATTCAATCCAAAATTTCTATCTTTGTTTGAAGAGTTATAAATTTCCTTTTTAACGACAGTCCTTTCTTTTCATTCGGCATTGTTATGGCTAAAATTTTTTCAATCAGTTTTGTGGACAGTAAAACTCACAAAAAATAACTTCCCTTCACTATGTTGTTTAAAATATATACCCAACAGAAGTTTATACTGTATTTTGGACCATTTTTGCAGTCCCCACTTATTGAAAGAATATAAATGATCGAAAATTTAGTGATATATTTGAGTGTTTACAGTAAATGATGCATATCTGTCTAGAAACCAGTCTTCCCCTGAAACTTTCAAAGGAATAACATGCCAATGTCGACAAGCAGCTGTTTTCAAGAACATTTAGCTCTGTATGCTGAACCGCGGCTCGTATCACGTGATCCGTTGCAATTTTTCTGTTATGTGAAAGATAATTTGTTTCTAAATACCATAAACCGCATTGTAAAAGTACCATGTTGTAAGAAAATTTCCACATTTTTCCAACCACGTTGGAGCGAAAACACGTTGTAAAGGTACCGCGTTGTAGGAGGCCTACCTGTATTATGTAAATTTCATACAATATAATAGAATCAGATGAAGTGCCAACAAGACTAATGCTAACACCATCCATTTCTGACATTTGATTAGTCTAAAAATCGATATTCTTGTTAACTGAAAATGCTATTTCAAATAATTGTCATAAAGACAATTTCAAAATCAGTTAGATGTTATTTGGGAGAATTCAAAATGCATATCTCAATTAAAACTATCAATTTTTTCATTAAAAATGAAAATGTTTCCTACAAATATTGAAGATTATGGAAAGAATAAAGATTAATTTTGAATACATTAACTATAATATTAATTCATCTATCTAGTTAAGAATTGATTATGACTAAATTACTAATAAGTTAAATAATAATACAATGTAAACTAGTATAAATTTCCAAATGAAAGCCAGTTCATTTTAGTTAAAATCAAATTTAATAACACCTTTTAATAAAATTTAATACCTTCACAATCATATAATAAAAAAACTTATTAATATATGGTAATTTTTTATATACAAAAAAACTGTATATTATTCTATTTGAAATAGGTTATATTTATTAATATAATTAGATTACGTTTAATGATAAAGTGAGTTGCATTTCTGAAAATGCATTTCATCTGATAAAATTAAACACTTGTAATACAGTATAAAAAATATTTAAACAACTGACAAATTTATAAATTAAGAGAAAAATAATTTTCAGAATAACATTGAATAATAATAATAGTTATACTACATAAAGAGTTTCACATTTAAAAAAAAATCTAATGAATGAATGAATTAGTAAATGGATATATTGTAAGTCTCAATATTTCTTATTGCCATTTATGTGATGAAAAAGTTCAGAAACAAAAATCGATGATATAAAATCAATATGTAATAAAAACAGTAGAGAAGAAATAATTTGCTTTCTAACCTCTAGCTT